TGTGAGCACATCACTGTGCTTTGTAGTTGTGCAGCTGACAAGGGATGCTACATCGTTCTGCAGCCAGGGAGTGCCTTCATAGCAGGCCATGCTGGGATCTGTGTATTTGTGGGCTGCCATCCCACGGAAAATTCATCCAGATCCTTTAAAAATTCACCTTGAGTCCTTTATCATACAGACTGCTGCTTGTAATTACCTGTGTGCCTTTGTTTGGAAGCCAGGACTGACGAGGACTGCATTGAGTTGGCTGATAGGTGGAAGGGAGAGCAGGCGTTCCAGCATCTCCGCTGCTGTGTTCTGTGCCCAGTCCTGGCTGTGCATAGGAGGGAGGGATGGATGTCTGGGAGCTGTGTGGTCCTCTGCCTCTGAAGTAACACCACTGATGTAAAACTTTCCTTCCAGGTTGCTCTGATCTGTGCTTGAACCCCAGTAATGTCTGCAGAAACTGATAGAGGCCTTATTTGAGTGCACTGGTAGCACTCTGGTTATTCCTGATACATAATCAGTGTTTGTCTTGGGCCAAATCAGGTCAGCAAGCATGAGAACAATTGATGACCTTTTCTTTATGATGTCTATAATGCATGGAAAGGCTTTCTTCAAGCTTTGTTGTCTCCTACCTACTTTTTCCAATACATGTGCTCACATGGAGCACTTCAGGCCTGCCCACCCCTGGCAGTGCAGTGTTCTGCTGCGCTCTGACCTAATGCTGCTTTGATTCTGGCTTTGTGAGGCAGGGATGGGAAGGAATCTGGGTAGCGTTACCTGACCGTTGAATAAAAGCTAAGTGCAAGTAAAATGTATGCAGCCTGTTCAAACTTTCAGTTAGAGGTGGAAATTCTAAAGCTGGGGTAAGGCTGAGTGCCACACAGAGCCACGTGCTCAGGAGCGAGGGCTGTTCCTTCTGCTGTTGTTCTGCAGCACAAATTGCTCATCAGTTTTCCAAGTGTGGACTCCCAGTGAATTTCTCTGTTGTAGAAAGTGCTCTCAGGGGATGTCTTCAACTCATGCCTAAAGCATCTGTTCCTCCATTTTTAAGGGTCTCCTTCCCTAAATGCTATAGGAAGTTCTCCTCCACCATTAACTGTGTCTTTTGTATGCCAGGGAATGTTTGAATTCCATTCAGCAAACTGACTTTCAAATGTTTTCAGAAATTCTGACTGAAGTAGTGCATGGTGTGCAGTGTCACTTCTGTGAATAGCATCTCGTGTTCCCTATCTTTAGACAACTTCATGTCACGTTGGGGGTAGGGGAAACTGTTAATAGATTGGCTGCAAAGGAACTGATCTAAATACCAGCAGATCGTAACCTGAATTCTCACTCGGAGTGTTTGTGTCTTTGAATAAATGGTGTTACAGGTTGCTGTTTGTGTGGTGTGATGCTCACGTCTGCATCCAGCGCGTCCCTGTATGAGGTGCTAAATAAACACCATCCTGCTGCATTTCCCCTGCACCATTTAAATAAAACCTACTATGAACAGCAGCTCTTCTCTTCTTTATTCTTACTCCACACTTTGGATTATAATGCAGTGAAATAACTGTTACACAAGTGCAGTGTTGCGGGAAAGACTTGGTATTGATTGGAGGCTGCAGTCTGGGGCAGGATTGGTGCTTGGACACGAGCAAACTGCTGGAGAGCTTTGGAGAAGAGCGGGGGGGCCGTGGCTCTGTGGGAATGCTGCTGTCTTCCTGTCCATTTCAGCAGTGCTGGCCCTGTAGGGCGGTGTGTGGTGGCCTTCAGGAAGATGCTGAGGGTTGTCCCTGCACAGGGCTGTGCTTGGGGCTGGCAGCGCGCAGCGGGAGCAGCAGCCACGTGCAGCTCTGTGGGTTCTGTGCTGTGCAGGGAAGAGCCCAGCGCTGCCGGTCCTGCAGTGCATCCCCCTTCCCAGACCTGCTTTTGTCCTTCTTAAACCGCTGCATGGAGCTTACCTGTTGGTTATGGGATTGGTCTCAGCGTGTAACAGTAAAATAGGATTAAGATGGCAATTAAAGAGCAGAAATTCCACTGTTTGAAGCTTTCCACAGTTCAGAAACCCGTGCTGTTGTCTGAGACTGCGGTGAAAGCATTTACTGCTGAACTTGGAACAGATCTGACACAGCAGCAGCGAGCTCCAGCGGACGGCTGAGCGGCACAGGGAGACCTGCATGGAATAAATAAGATTTGTTTTCCGTGACTGTCATCAGGGTTGGCTGGAAAGGATTACTGGGGATGACTCGGAGCAGATGTTCCCCAGTAAACTTGGAGTGAATTAACCCGGACCAGTCAGCCTTCACCACACGGGAACAGCATGGGGTCATTTGGAATGCAGTGTGAATTATTTGTAGTTGTTTGCTGCCGGGTCCTGGGATTGCTTTGTGGGAGGCTTTGTTTTGGGGCAGCAGTGATGGGTTGCAGTGGAAGCAGACAAAGGCAAAATAGAAATGAAAGCAATGTGCAAGTTGGAGGCACGGAGTTGTGCAACTGCGGTCTTGCACGGTCTGCAGAGAGGTTGCCCAACTCCCCCTCCACTGTGCTGCTGCTTTGCCTGCTGTGTGCCAGTTAGCGTTTCTAATAACTGTGTGTGAATAAATGCTCCTTCCTGCTGCTGCTCACAATCGGGTGATGTCCTGACAGGTTTGGTAGCTTTGTGCTCCTGTCAGTTGTGTGACAGTGTGAGTGTTCTGCAGCCAGTAACTGATGCTCTAAGGGAAGGCCCTGCTGTGCGGTGTGGATGCGCTGCTGTTACCTCCGTAGGTGCCTTCGTCTTAAAAAGGTGGCACTTGAGGCCTTTGGGAGCTTCTGGCGGCCTTGTTTTTTCGTCACAGCATTCGACTGTACCACGAGAGATTTTGCTCTGTATTATTTTGAAATCTCTTTCTGTGCCAGTTCGGGTGAAGCACTCCAGAATGGCGACCCCAAACTTGTGGGGGAGGATGGAAGTTGTTGATGGAAGTTGTTGCTTTTCTTTTTGAGGGAGAGCCCAGCTTCGTGTCACTCAGAGCACGAGGAGAGCAGGAGCTCCTGCAGTGTTCGACTGTTGGCACTCCTTGCACTGAGCGCTTCAGCACAGCAGCGTTTCCCATTGGTTGCAGATGTGTGAAGAATCCCAAAAGGCGTCCTGTGCTGCCCTGTTGCTGAGCTGTGGGCACAGGCTGTGGTGTGAGGCAGCTTCTGCTGTCAGAATTGGCACCATGTTGTGTCAGAGGAGGGAATGGAGCATCTATCAGAAGTGGTGTGGGCCTGGGCTCCGGTTGGCGATGGAGGTTTGGGCACAACCATTGATATCTTGGTATTCTAAAACAAAGGCAAAGCAGTTACTGGAAATTCCCTGACCAATTTCATCTTGCTGTAGGTGTGTGTATACATGAGCGTATTGCTTTTCCCATCTTGACCTTTTGATAAGTCCCTTTTTTGCCATCAGTTTGTCATTGAGCTGCTATTTGGGGATTACCAGTAACTGTAGAACTGATTGTCCCGATTACTGACGTGTTCAATGCTCAGAGCCTTCCTGCACCCCTGTAACTCCTGTTCTGAAAGATGTGTTGAGAAAGAGAACATCATCAGCTGTCCTAAATGCTCTGATTCTAGAAGCTTTGGGGGAGCTGAATGGTGTCATGTGTCACTTAAAGTGCAGTCTTAAACCATCCTTTCTGGGCACTGAAGGAGTGCAAGGATCCACTCTTACAGTCAGTGCCCTGAAATGAAATTCTGAGTGCTGAAATACATCGTGTGCTGTTGCTGCTTTAAACCTTCAGAGGAGCATTCCCAGCCCTGAGCTGGGCGGTGGGGCTTCAAGTATCTGCAGGGGCATCCAAGAGAAATTCAGCTTTGGTCGGCAGTTGGTTTTACAACCTGAGTTCGGATCACTCAAAGCCTACATGGACTTTAAAAAAAAAAAGAAAAAAAACAAAAACTTTGGATAAAAAATGACTCAAAATCAGGGAAAGCATTTCATTGTTGGCAGCTTTATCCAAGGCGGTCCTGGTAAAGCCTGGGATTGGCAGAAGGATGGGGGTGGTGTGGAGGAGCTGAGCCCTGCACGCTTCCCCTCTCCTTACAAAGAAGGAGCTGGCAGTGCTGCGGGGTGCAGCTCTGGGATCCCATGGGATCCCCACAGAGGTTCTGTGGGAGATTTTCCACGGGTGCCGTTCGTGTCCAGTTGAGTCACAATGCAGTTAAGCAGTAAATGAGGTTCAGTGATTCACGTTTTCCTCCTCTTATCATTTAAATCCATCTACAAAGGTGAGTTAGAAATTCCAGGCTTCAGTGCCGTTAGTGTCAGGTAATGGAAACGAGGATCTGAGTTCTGTCAGAACGTTTTAATATCACACGTGGGTCTGCAGATCTGCTCTGCCGTGCACACAAATGTTGCAGTGAAGCCCATCAAAAATCTGCGATGTGCTTTGTTAATGTAAAATGGGTTTCTGACGTTCTCCTCGCTGCCTTACGGACTCGTGCAGTGCCATTCCTGCACCATGCAGCCTTTCAGGCTGCCGGAGCCGGGTGTCTGAGGACCCCTACCGGGCACAGCCTGCAGCGCTGCGTGGGGTTGGGGCAGTTTGTTCCTTGGTGTGACTGCAGGAACAATTTGAGCAGAACTAAACAAAAGAGACTTATGTAAGTGTAAGGCAGTGCTTAGAGCTGAATTCTGCGGTTCTGATTCCACTGGTTGCTCTGCTCAGTCCACTTGATGTTTAAGTTTCCTTTTAGGCTGTAGGACAAGTAACCGATGCCTTGACTGAGGGCTGAGAACTTTCCTGGTTAGCTCACTGATTTTTTTTTTTCTGCTCTTTCATTTCGTTTTATGTAAGTGTGTGTTTGTTACAGCTCCTTCAGTTTCCAACTAGGTCAGCAAAGTGTCCTTGTCCCTATTTTTTGAACAGTCTGCTCCCTAAAGCTAGGCAATGTGACAGCAGTTTTGTGATTAATGTTTCCAGCAATTATAAAGAGGAAGGTCTTAAATCACATTTGATAACTGAGACCTGTACCTGAAATGTGCAGTGACTTTGTCTTCCTTATTGCAGATCCATAACATGGTGGCAGTGCTGGAAGTGATCTCCAGCCTGGAGAAATACCCCATTACCAAAGAGGCACTTGAGGTACGTCGCCATCTGAGCATCGCTTGATTTTCTTGTGTGAATAAAAGGACTTTCTCTGCCTGTCTGATTTCCATAAGAGCTTTCCTTGAAACAATGGATTGATTGCGGAGGATTCACGATTACGGTGTTATCGTGTCCCTCTCGTGCTGCTTCTGCCATCTCTGTGTGCAGCACTTCTCTCTGGGTTCAGCTTGGTGTGCTGTGCAGCCTGGTTCCCGTTTGTGTAAGGCTCTGTATTAATCACAACTTGCTGCTTATCACGATGCTTCCTTTTGCTTATGGAACCATGTTGGGACATCTTAGGAAAGCTCATCTGTTGGCCTTTCAAGATAGGGAGCAAAGAGGGAGGAGGCAGAGGAGGAAGATAGGACATAAATCACACTTTGATTTGTGCAGTGGACATTTATATTTGCCTGTTACAGCCACATGTGGACAAGATTCTGGATTTTCAACGCTCACCTCTTTCTCAGGTTCATCGTAATTCGTGCACTTTTTCCACCCTGGATGCTGCAGTTCCCTCACGTCAGAGCTTTCACCTCTGTTCTCAAAATTCTTGTGGATTTAAAAATTCCTTTCTGATGTTTTCACAGCTGATGGCTCTGGTGCCTTAACCGGGGAGGAAGGAAGGGGTGGCTTAAAACCAGCAGTAGGTTTTGTGCTGTGTGGCACAGCATAGAACAAGAGGGGTTAACCCTTCCAAAAAGATTAATTCAGCTCTTGCATCTCTAGCATTTTGTACTAGGCATTTCTTAGGGTAAGCATTAAAAAGCAGGAATTTACCTTAAAAAAGGAGTCAGAATTTTGTTTCGAATGATACTTGTTTATAAAACAACTTTTTTTTTTTCTAGGAAACAAGGCTTGGGAGGCTTATCAATGAGGTGAGGAAGAAGACATCCAATGAGGAACTTGCCAAACGTGCCAAGAAATTGTTGCGGAATTGGCAAAAGTTGATAGAACCTGTGACCCCGAGCGAGGCGGTGCCAAGAGGGCTGCAGAATCCGCCCGGATCGGCCAACGGCGGTGCTCACAACTGCAAACCAGAAGCGCCCCTTCCTGCCGTGGCTGGGTCAAAACCCATCAGTGAATTGAAAAGCAGGAACGATATCCAGAAACTGAATTCTCCAAAACCAGAGAAATTGGGAAATCGGAAAAGGAAAGGTGAACATAGGGATGGGCATCAGGGCCCTCCTCCCCCGAAAGTCTCCAAAGTTAGTCATGAAATATTACAGAACTCTTCACCCCCTCCAACAAACGGAATTGGAGGTAGTCCCGAGAATTTTCCTAGTCCTGTAGATGTAAATCTACATGCAGGGCCTGAAAGCAGCAGGACAGAACTTAGCGAAAACGATAAACACAATAAGATCCCAGTAAATGCTGTAAAACCTCACACCAGTTCTCCAGGACTCGTAAAACCTTCAAGCACTTCCTCCTTATTAAAGACTGCAGTGCTTCAGCAGCATGATAAATCGGAAGAAACCTCCGGGTCGCACCAACCCAAGAGTCCGCGCTGCTCCTCGTTTAGTCCCAGGAATGTCAGGCACGACGCGTTTGCGCGGCAGCACACCACGTACTCACCAAAGGATTCCATGCCTAGTCCATCTCAAAGGTCTCAGTTCTTAGACACTGCACAGGTGCCGTCACCGCCGCCATCCTTGATGCAACCATCAACACCTCCGATGCCAGCAAAAAGACTGGAGTTCTCTCAGCAGTCGGTGTCTGAGGTGTCCCAGCACTGGCAGGAGCAGCAGGCGCCTCCTGACAGCCAGCACAGGCACACAGCAGGGACGCTTCCGCAGCACACGTCTCCCGGTTGCAAAACCAGCTCCCACCCGGGGGAATCTCTCGTGTCGCACGTCGGCTTTTCGCAGGACGCTTCGAAAATGGACAGTGATGATGCTGCTTCAGGTTCAGATAGCAAAAAGAAGAAAAGGTACCGACCTAGAGACTATACAGTCAACTTGGATGGGCACGTGACAGAAGGGGGTGTGAAACCTGTGAGATTAAAAGAGAGAAAGCTCACTTTTGATCCCATGACAGGACAGATAAAACCTTTAACACCGAAAGATCCTTTGCAGGTAGAAATCCCTGCACTTACTGAACAGCACAGGACAGAAACGGAAAAGCAGGAGCAAAAACCCAACCTGCAAAGCCCCTTTGAACAAACGAACTGGAAAGAATTGTCCAGAAACGAAATAATTCAGTCATATTTAAACAGACAGAGTAGCTTGCTGTCTTCATCAGGAGTACAGACTCCAGGAGCTCACTACTTTATGTCTGAGTATTTAAAGCAGGAGGAAAGCACTAGAAAAGAGGCTAGAAAGACTCACGTTCTAGCTCCTAACAGCAAACCTACAGACTTGCCTGGGGTCACGAGGGAGGTCACGAGTGATGATCTCAACAGAATACGTGAACATAACTGGCCAGGCGTGAACGGTTGTTATGATACACAGGGTAACTGGTATGATTGGACACAGTGCATATCTTTAGATCCACACGGGGATGATGGTAGATTGAACATCCTGCCTTACGTCTGCCTAGACTGAGTACAGGTTTGCTAAAATGCTTTTACGTTTGCAGTTAGCAAGAATGGCAGACACTATGCCACTTAAAGATGGAGAAAGCCTCCTGTCCTGGACAAATAGGCCCAACGAGCAGAGGGTGAGAGGGAGCTGCTTCTGTACAGCTCTTCCCTTTAAATTCTCCTTTTGTGAAATGCTGCTACCAGTTTACTAACAATTGCAAAGGAAGGCATACGAAGGTTGAGAAAACTGAGTTCAAAACTCTATAGCGAGCCAGCTATAAAAAAGTGTTAGTCCCCAAAAGCGAAGATGATTTCCAGCACTTTCTGAATGCCGGAATCTGACTACAGGCAGGTACAGAGAAAATTGTGGAAGTTACCTTAACAAAATATGCATCTATTTATTTGACTTGATTTGGGTTTTTATTTGGCAGTGAGATATTCAAGAGACGATGTGCAAAAACTGTAGTTTTATTTGTATCGCATCTCTGAACATGATTGTGTTTTTAAAGTCATGTGGTACGGAGATTGGGTTTTAAACAGCAGGTGTTGCACTGCAGGCTGGGAGACCAGCTTCAGCTCAACATTCCATGGGCATCCACATATTTCAGTCTGGTTTCAGTTTAAATCCAGTCTCTGAGAAATGCTGCAAAAACAGATGTTTAATGACATTTTGATCCCACCACCACCAGCCAAATATTTTTCCTCCTTTTCCCTTCCTGCAAACTTCTAGGAAAAAAAAAATAAAAAAAAAAATCACCTTTTCTAGAACTTAAATGTAACGAGGGTGCTACAAGTTCGTAACTGTACTGTGAGAGGGAAAAAGGAAGCCTGTTTGTATGCTGGAAATATACTTGTTACCATTCCTTTAGATATTGTTTGCCTTATGGATATCCATCATAAACGCAATTTGCAAAAACAAAGAGCCTTAGTGAATGTACAGTACCTAGACTTCTGTGTTCCTGGGATGCAGAAGGGAGCAACTTTGCTATTTGGTCCTTTAAGTGGACACATTGTGATATAAATGTGGAAATAAAAAAAATTTGCACAAAGCAGTTTGTGAATTATTTATACTGAACTAATTTATTTTTAAAAATCTGCTCAATTCAGACAAAGTAACAGAACCCATCAGAGCCGAGCGGCGAGGCGCAGCCCAGCAGCGCTGCTGTCAGGGCGCAGAGATGTCTTCCAAGTGTGTTGGTGGCGTTTGGTCACACAGGTTGGATTGTTTTTAACTCTGGTTGCATCCAGGGGTGAGAGACTGATGACACAATTACTGTTAATGTACCTCAGAGTCTAAAAAACTGTAGTTCATCTTGGTAATTTTGTAATATATTATTCCTAATTGTTAAAAATATTTCTAAAGCAGCCTAATCCAGAATTCAGTATAGAAAGCTCAGAATTTCTATTACCTGTATTTGCTTTAACGTTTGGGACAAGCCGTTTTCTACAGTCCCCGCTGCTGGACTTCTGTCCAGGGAAGAGGGGAGGGGACACCAGGGATACCAAAAAGGTGCTGAGGTTCAGTGCTGTTCGTTCTGTGAACTCATCTGTGCTGAGTCTCACTGCCGTGGTAAAAGTAGTTCTGCCTTTGAGAGCGGAGTCGAAGCTCTTCACCGTCAGAGTGTGATTTTAGAAGTGTTCCTCATGCGTTGCTTTGGTTTATTCCATGGAATGCAGCCAACATTTGGGTTGTTTTTGTCATTCTTGTTAAAACCTGCTTTTGTGGTTTGACTGGGACTGCAATGTGGGCATCTCAGAAATCTTACTGGCGTTTGTTTGCTTCTGTTTCTGAAACCCGAGGACTGCGTGAAATCTAAAAAAAAAAAAAAAAAAAAAAAATGGTTACCAAAAATGTTTCCAAGTATATTTTCAGTTTACTTCCATTTTATCCTCTGCAGTTGATGAAATCAGGCAGTGTTTTTTAGAGTTGCAGAAAGTTGCTGTCAGGAAGGTAGCTGTGATGGCAGAGGGCTCAGAAGTTGCTCACGTTGGGAAATGTTTATTTTCTGTTTTATGTTTAAAAAGAAAAAAAATTTTAAAAAATGTGCATTTTATTCAAACCCTCCCCAACCCCTCCTCCCTCTTTCCCCAAATGGTCCTATTTAGGAACAGGGTCTGTGCCCTTTTGAGGCCTTTGAATGTGGGGCAAATTTCAGGAAATTACGAAGTACACTTTATAAAAACCATCCTTTACTTTCAGTTGCTTACATTTCTGCTGCAGTCGATGGCCCGGAAGGTCGAGTGATGTCCTGAGTCCCTTGGCTGCTCTCCATAGCAAACCGGCCGTGCCGATGCTCGCTTTGCTTGAGGGAGCTCCGCGTGCTGGACTCGGCCCTTCCCCCGGTGCTGCAGGATCTCCAGGGACATCACGTGATTTGCAGCGTGAGCTTTAACTCCCGTTTGTTTCTGCTGTGAGGGTCAGCTCGCTCGGATGTGATCTGGGGCGAGACGAGGCTCGACAATCTTTACTTCAGCATGCTTCTATAACCAGTTCTGTGAGCTCCAAAAAATGTGAATAAGTTTACAAGGTGATTTTTTTTGTCAATTTTGTAAACAAGTTCAAATGAAGTTTACCATGTGCATATCTGCTGTGTACTCTCATTTTTGCATGCTCAGTTTCTCGGCTCCTGGATTCTCCCGTTCTGCACAATTTATTCTTTTAAAGTCTAAAATGAACACCGCCCTCTGCAGCGAATGACACGGAATGGTTTTGGGAATCGCCGTTACCTCAGGTGCCTGTTTTCAGAGGTACATAAATGGCGTAGAAACGTCTTTTGAAGGAGCGGATGGAGGATCGCCCTCCTCCCACGGGTTCTGTCCCTGCACCCCCAGCAGCTCCCTGAGGTGGTTTTAAAGGCCTCGAGGGCTCCTCTTCACTGCGCTCTGCTCGGGCCCGATTTGGCTCCGCTCTCAGGCGGTGCAGATCCGCACTGCTCTTAGGGTCGCTCAGGAATCCCACTCGGTGCGGTGTTTCGTACGCCGCGTCTCTCCCCGGTTCCTTCATCCCGGGCTGCGCCTGTGGGGCGGGACGGACGGGGCGCAGCGGCCGTCAGAACGAAGCGCAGAGGCGGACAGTTCCGGTCTGAGGGCGGCCCGTCCCCCAGCGACCAGAAGTGGACAGAGGAGCCGGAAGTGACGTGGAAGTGACGCAAGCGGAAGTGACGCACACACGCTCCACTGCCCCCTGTCGGCACCCGTAGCGCTGTGCCGGCGCTGAGCTCCGGCGCGGGTCCGCCCCAGGAAGCGACGCGTTGGCGGCGGTGACGTCCCGGGGGCGGCCGTGCGGCTCGGGCAGCCATGGCGGCGGCCCCGCTGGCGGCTCCGGGAGGAGGCGGGGCGGCGGCGGCAGCGGCGGGGGGGGCCGGGAGCCGGAGGGGCCGCGGGCCGGCGCTGCGGGAGGGCGCGCGGGTTTCGGCGCTGTGCTTGGCCTGGTACGGGCTGAGCGCCGGCGGGAACGTGGTCAACAAGCTGCTGCTCGGCGGCTTCCCCCGGCCCGTCACCGTCTCGCTCTTCCACATCCTGGGGCTGTGCGGACTCCTTCCGCCGCTGCTGCGCGCCTGGCGGGTCCCGCCGGCCGGCCCGGCCCAGCTGCCGCCCCGCGCCTACCCGCGCTACATCCTGCCGCTCGCCTTCGGCAAATACTTCGCCTCCGTTTCCGCGCACGTCTCGCTCTGGAGGGTCCCGGTTTCGTACGCGCACACGGGTGAGGCTCCGGGCGAAAGTGGGGGTGCGCGGGGCGGCGGTGCCGTCCCATGGGGCGCAGCGGGAGCGCGGATCGGAGAACGGTTTGTGTTGGAGGGACCTGTAGAGACCTCCCGGTCCGACTCCCTGCCGTGAGTGGGGACAACCGCAGCTCCAGCGGGTGCTCGGGGCCTCCTCCTGCCTGACCCAGGCGTGAGGCACCCGGCGCTCTTCCGGGCAACTTGTGCCAGTGCTTCACCACCTTTTTCCCTCGTGTCCAGTCTAAATCTTCCCTCTTGTGGTTTGAAACCATTTCCCCTCGTCCGCGCCCATCGGGATGCCCCAAGGCTGCGTGCACTGCTGCCGCTGCCCCTGTTGTCACCTGAAGCCCACTGTGTGCTCGCAGTGCTGCCTGCTGCCGTGTCTCCCATCAGCTGTGCCTGTAGGAGCCCAGTGCGGCACTGCGGGGTGCGCTGTGAGTTCATGTGGGTGCCCGGCGTGGTGCCCTGTCCCGGATGTGTGCTCACAGTGCTGCAGTGTCTGTATGGCTGCCTGCTGCAGCACCTTGTGTCCTGGTGTGAGCTCACAGCAGTGTCTGCTGCAGGGTGGAGCACTGCGTGCTGCCCTGTGATGGCACAGGGGTGAGGGGTGACCCTGTGTGGGCTGAGGTTGGGGTTTTGTGGGACTGAACCTGAGCCCCTCCATTCCCAGTGCTCACCTTCTGCTAATGGTGTTTAATGGAGTTGGCTTCGCATCCCCACCGAAATTTTCTTTCCCTTCTCAGTAAAAGCGACGATGCCAATATGGGTGGTTCTTCTTTCGCGGATCATTATGAAGGAGAAGCAGACGACGAAGGTGCGGACAGGTTTGCTGAGGTTTCTTCTCTTGCTGGTGTTCGTGGTGTGCTTTGCTCGCTGGGATCGGGGAGGTTTGGGTGAATGTTGTGACTAGGATTGCACCGGGTGGATTTGCCACGTTCTCTGTTCCTTTTGCAGGTGTACTTATCTCTTATTCCCATAATAACCGGTGTCCTGTTGGCCACGGTCACTGAACTGTCCTTTGACATGTGGGGACTCATCAGTGCACTTGCTGCTACTCTGTGTTTTTCACTTCAGAATATCTTCTCAAAGAAGGTAACAGTTTTGCCGTTCTGTGATTCATTGGAATTTTTGGTTGTTTCTGTTGGCAGCTGATAGTGCTTAGCTGTACCAGTTCATTATGTATCTTGCTGTGTCGTATCATTTCTTCATACTGAATGAGTCAGTGTGAACACTGGGCACTCCTTGAAATCGTAGGAACAAAGAGACAAAATGAGAAGGTGTGTCTTGAGTGTATTCCAAAGTGAGTTCTGGTTTGTGGGACATCTTAATGTGTACGTTGTTAATCCTGGGAGAGTTGCCAGTCAAGAAACCACTTTTTCAAAGAGAAATCTGTTTTCTTTGGTCGTCCTCATTGGAAATTCACACCATTCATTTCCATGCTGTAACTGTCAGTTGCAGGAAGTTGTTATTATTACAGGGAGAACGGGGGGTGGTTGGGGCACAGCTGTAATGTGTCCTCCATCAGGTGTTGCGGGATTCCCGAATACATCATCTTCGGTTGCTGAACATCCTGGGGTGCCATGCTGTGTTCTTCATGATCCCAACGTGGGTTTTGGTTGATCTTTCTTCCTTCCTGGTAGAGAATGACTTGGTAAGTGTCGCTTTGGGGAAACTCTCGTCTATTAAGATAAAAGGGGAAAAAAACACGCAAAAAATGTTCACTTAGGTAGTTCCTCATCAGTGTGGAAGGATCTGTTGTGAAATACCTGCAGATTGTTTCACAAAAACCACAGCCAACGAGTGTGGTGTTTCTCATTAGAATTCATGGCGGGGTGAGGAGTGGGAGCCGATGTGACAGCTGAAGTCCCAGGAAGTAGAGCTGGAGACAGGAGGACACGCAGCTGGAGTGCAGTGCTGTGTGCAGGAGATGCGTTATCAGAACTGGTAGCTGCGTGTTTGGTGCCACTGTAGAGAAGTTGTAGATGTAGGCAGGGAAGAAGCAACTCGATTATTTCTGTTACTTTCTCTCAGGTTTCCAATAGGCAACAAATGTATGTAATTGTAACGTTTGTTGTTATGACAGAGCACAATGTCTCACTGGCCCTGGACCTTGATGCTGCTTATAATCAGTGGGTTCTGTAACTTTGCCCAGAACGTCATTGCCTTCAGTATTCTTAACCTGATCAGCCCACTGAGTTACTCTGTCGCGAACGCCACCAAAAGAATCATGGTGATCACTGTGTCCCTTATAATGCTTCGCAATCCAGTCACCAGCACCAACGTCCTTGGGATGATGACAGCTATCCTAGGGGTCTTCTTATACAACAAGGCAAGTTGTTCATCTGTTTCTTTGTTTATTCAGGGAACTCACCTGAACCACTCTGGTGGCTTTGAACTGTTTTGTAAAGCAAGTTAACAGCAGAACAGAAATGAAGAAGGTGTGACGTAGAACTTCACTGCATGGGAGTGGCTGAGTGCTCCAGTGCTTGGGTCAGGCCAGCTGCTGGGTGTGACAGACTGAGATCTTAATATTGTATTGAAGAATGAGGATTAGGAGGTATCTCGCTAAAATGCCTTGAGCAAAAGCAGCTTCATGATTTGTCATGTGAGGAGGAAGTGATTTTTATTAGGAGTCGCTCATTTGAGACTCTCATAAATGTGGTGGTGTTTTCCCTATGTATATTTTGGGTGACACCTTAGAAAAACTTTCTTTCTTTCTCTCCTAGACAAAATATGATGCAAACCAAGAAGCAAAGAAGCAGCTCCTTCCAGTCACAACTGCAGACCTTGTGAACTTGGACCGGCACCGCAGCGCTCCGGAGAAGTCTCAGAATGGACTGACGGCGTTTGCCCCGCATGGAGACTATCAGTACGGCCGGGCCGGGGTCCTGGCTGAGCACTGCCAGCACAACCGACAGAGCTGCCCGCCCGCCTACAACTTCAACCGTTTTGATATATAGAATCCTGACACGCAGGTAGAGACTGTGATATTAAAGTGTCCCCAGCATTATCAGAAACTTTTAGTACATCCGTGAATGTAAAGCCATTTTATTGTAAAGTTTTGCAGAAGGGAGGATGCATGTGTAGTGAAAGTGGTACAGACCTTCAGCTTCTGCTGAGCTGATCTTTCAATGTGAAGCAGCTGGATTGGACACCGGACCTGAATGCAGCGTAGCTCTCGTACAGGGATTCGGATGAAGAGCAGGTACAACATTTCAGAGCAAAGCATCTGCAGTCGCTGCTCCTTTTGGGAGTTGTCAATCGGTTACTCTTTTGGCAGCTAAACCCTGGCCAGTACCTCGTTTCCACACTGATAGTGTCACTTTTAATTTGTTCTCTACTGTTTTAAGAATACTTACATGAAATTGTCAGGAAGAAAAGGGTGTAATTAGGCACACAGCTGGTGATCAGGATTTGCCCGCTTGGGAGGATTGTGTCGGTTGTGGATAAGGAGCCTGGAGTTCATCTTGAGCAAATATGAAACTTCATGCGGGTGTTAATTACCTCCATGCCTATGCCTTCAGTTTTTGATGACAAACCAGAAGTATTTCTGAAAGAACAGACAGTAGAGATCCCTTCAAGAGATGCATTTAAAGCATAGAGAAACAGTTTTCTCTAAAATCATTGTTGTCCCAAACAGTGCAGATAGCAGAAATGGAGACTGAGATCATCGTTGTTTTCTCAGTAATGCAGCCCTGTAAACTCAGACATTTTTCTTCCTTGGCAGTGCAGGAAACCCCTGACAAATAAAGCATTTCTAATAATGCCTTTTTTTTTTTTTTTTTTTTTGCGTGCTTTACACCTCTTACAAATCTGTCTTTGGGTCAGGAATTGAAAGGCTTAG